CCGAAATTCAGAGGATGAAAAATGGACCATAACTTCAGTTATTATGGCTCAGTTGAACTCAAAATATAATTGCGAACTTTTTACGTTAAATAACTTTTTTTTCCATTTACTTATCGCACCATTTTCAAGAAAAGCGATGACAAGCGAAGTCTGTACCCACCTACTTTACCAGCAAAATCCAAAATGAGACCACCTCCCTATACAGGTACTCTATACTTAAGGAGTGTAAACCATTCAGTCTGAAGATCTGATAGCAAGTTTGTTGAACCTAAATTTTGAGGGAAAGGGCCTAAAAATATATAATTTCAATAGGCTACGCTGATAATTAATCATATCTCCATGCCAAAACTTAATAAAATAATATACCTCCAGAATTAATCCATTTTAGCTGTTTTGATTTTATATGTCAAATCAGCGGTTCTTTTACTGAGCTGCTAATTTATTTGATTGAGTCTCATAGCCTGAGATACAACCATTTGAGATTTTATTAGTAGATTTTCTCTTGTTCTCTCATGTGATGTTGCTGTTGATAGTCCTTCTTGCGCTGATAAGTCGTCTCCTTCTTTTAGGATCAACATCAGCTGTAACATTAGAGGATGTGCTAGCCAGACTATCATACCTGCAAACATCTCTTGACTCAGTTTTAGAAGCTACAAAGAACTTCTCCAATCAGCTCTCACTGATGAACACAAAACTGGACGCCCTAAATAATAATTCTGAAGATCAGCATAAAATAAAGGTAGCGGTGATTAACTCGATCCCTGCTAAAACTCCTGATGATCTTGAGCTTCTTAACAAAGCCATCCAAGGCAGCCAAGCTGCAAAGCTTCAGTTGGTGAGTTTTAGTCATTTTCAAAGTATCATTTCTGTCAATCCCATTGTAAAAAAATGCCAACAGAGAAGTTCATTTGGGCCTCATAAAAAAAGATGATTTGTCAAACTTGTCAACATCTCCAAAAGTTTAAATGGAACTGATCAGAGAAGGTGTGACTCGAGTATTTTTACCGGATCCTTTGCACTAAATTACCATGTAAACCTTGTAAGGCCTCAAAGGTCATCATCATTAATTAAAAATGCAATTCGTATTCTGCATTAGTTCGTGATTCAACGTATAGGCCTGGCGAAGGATGGCCCATCCTTGCCCCACCCGCATCGTAAGTTGGTTCATACTTATGCAAGGTACACAGTAAACAAAGTTCAAAGTAAAAGTAGGAAATAGTTCCGAAACCCAAGAGAGACAAGACTGAGTGAACTTGGAAGTTTCCTCTGTACAAATCATGCACAAGATCTCTCTTGCGTTCTGAGTGATTCTCATGTTTTCTTAATTCTTAAGCAATCAATGTGGGAAAATTTGTTTTTCCTTTGCAGTCCAGGCTGACGTTACTGAAAAGTATTTCGAATGGGTTTTTTTTCGCCCCTGAGTGGCTTATTGCTAAATTTTCTCTCTTGAGTGCCAGCAATGTAAGTTTCTCTATGATTCCAGGAAACAACCTTGAAAGCTGTCGCAGAACAAAAAGTATTGAATACAGCCCAGAACATGATGCATAAGTTATTCACGGATGAATTGGGCACGCAGTATTGTCTTAAAGGAAAGAATCCTGATAAAAAACAGTTCGACATAGATCCCATTTACCACCTTGTTATTGGTGAGTCTGATTTTTTTTTTTAAATATTATTTTTTTTATCTCGATTTTATGCAGAGTTGGCCAGGATAAACCTTTCTGACCGGAAATTAGAATAATTTCAATGGTTTGGAAAGCTTCGTCATCATTTTTTTCTTTTAGGTAATATTTCGAGCAATATTATTCTGTCATCATTTTAAGAGGGTGCATTAAGTCATATCTGCTATAGTTATTGAATGTTGTTGTTCAAATTAATCTCTCTTGCCGTGATGACTCTAAACATTGTGTAGCCGTTGAGAAAATTCCTGCTTTCTTTAATTTTAATAGTTGCAACTCTCTAAGAAAGAAAACAAAATGCAATGCTTAAAGTTAGGAAAGCGAATTTAGATTTTGAGCTGTTTTAGAAAAGACTGATCTGTGATCTTTTTTATTCTCATCGTCAAAGAAAGAAAGAAAAAGAAGAAAAAAATTGAAATTTCATCATTTCTAGTTCTCTTTCTTAGTAATTTTTGAAGAGATCAAGGCAAAAACAGACTCATGCTAAAAAGTTCCAACTGACTACTTTTACAGTGTTTCATTGCCCATATTAGGTGTTCAGCCAAATATAGTGTTATTACGAGTAATTCATCTATTTATCTATCTCCCTCTGTACATACTCACACCTTTGTCCTCGCATCCGCCCTCTCACACTTAAAATAAACACAATGAGAATGTATAAGTTAAAGTTGCTTCCCCATTCACATGAATTGCAGGAAGTTCAAGAAATGAAGTAGACGATCGTCTCAAAATTAAGATTATCAATTCTAATATTTTGCGTAGCTGTAATTTCATCTTTCAATAAAACTCAATTGATTGCGGTATGAGTCGAGAGCATGAATATTTTCGTCGAATATTCTAGGGATATCTAGTATCTGGTATTTGAATTAATCTCCCTTGCCTGTGATGATTCTAAGCATTGTGTAGCTGTTGAGAAAATTCTAGCATCCTTTAATTTTAACAGTTGCACATCTCTAAGATTTCTCTGCACTTGTGTTTCAACTCAAATTTGAGGATCAAGTGGTAAAAACAATCAAAGTAATGGTATACCGTATATTTTACAGAGTGTATAAAGACAGTTTTCCCTCCAACAGAGAAGGTAGTGACTGAAGCGAGAGAAGCTATCAGTAATTGGTTCACGCAATCAAAACACCGCATCGATAAGAGGTCAGTCATAATAACATTGAGTTTGAAATTTTTGGAAGAATTGCATATTAAAATTTCATCAAATTGAACCAAGGGCCATGGCCACCTCTAATATAAATTGTGCAAGGTCATTTGTAGATGTTTGTAGCAGCTTAATGGTGCTATTTCTTTCTGATTTCTCAGTAGTAGAAATATAAGTTTTGGCTATTCTAAAATCTAATCTAAAACGCCCCTTAAAATATGGTCTGCCGTTTCTTTAGGTGATAAATAAATCAAGCAGGCAAATCAATTCGGGATTTCCGATTTTTGTAGAATTTCACTCTTAACTATTGTCCAATGAGAAAAAAACGATGTTTTAGAAATTATTTCAGTTGCTGGTGCTTGACTTCAATTATTTGAAAATGGACGAAGAACAAAGGTTTTAATGAATTTTTTTTAAGAGATAGGGACAATTAAACTTTGGGTAATTAATTACTTACATTTCTGTATGGTTTGAGGACCATTCTCTTTTCTCAAGGTCAGGATATCAGAAATTAAAGTATGGACGCTGCAAAAAGCGCCCTCTCCTTTTGATTCTGGTATTGATGCAGATAGGTATTTGTGTTCTTTTGCACTGTACAAGAAAAATCTGTTGTCCTGCAAAAAGATTTGAGAACACAATGCAAAACTCTACTCTTGACTCTCTCTAAATTCAACTTTTTTGGTTCCCCTTAGAAAGAAACGTGCTGAAGAGAAAGTGCAAAATGCAGCTCAAAAAGAAGCTGAAAGAGTCAAAAAAGCGGCTGAAGAGGAGGCCGAAAGAGTTAAGAAAGCAGCAGCAGAGGCAGCTGAAAAAGCCAAGAAAGCGGCTGAAGAGGAGGCCGAAAGAGTTAAGAAAGCAGCAGCAGAGGCAGCTGAAAAAGCCAAGAAAGCGGCTGAAGAGGAAGCCGAACGGGCCAAGAAAGCAGCAGAAAAAGCCAAGACATAGGCAGAGGAGGCTCTACTTGATGGTTCTGCTAAAAAGCAAAAAGTCATCAGTTAGTGAGTTGTAATTAACATTTTTCTTTTTATTGATTACCTATCTTTTGTTTGTTTAGTACCCACTAAGATTTTGTATGTTGCAATTCTGAAAACATAGCTTTCCAAGTGCCTAAATTGTTTTTGTACTTATGGAGCTTGGAGGGTTACTGCTTTCCTTTTCTAGAAAATAGGGTGTCCTAAAAATGGCTGTTGAACTTTAACCGTGTGATTTGTTACATTTGACTTTTCAAAATTTAAATTTGAAGAACTGTTCATAATTTTAAGTATACTTAATGTTCCTCTCACCAAAAGTAGTCTTTAGCTCAAACTAGTTTGCTGTGTTAAATTTCAAAAAGACTGAATATACGGTATATAGTTACCTACTTAATTAGACTTGTATATACTCGTTAAAGTTCATTAGTTCAAATTTTCTTATAATTTTTTAAGACACGACTGCAATTGCTTTAGGCGTATATTTTATGCTCTTAAAATTATTCAATTTTTCCCCCTTCCTGGATCATTCTTATTTAATTTTTCAATTGTACCAGTGTAGATATTTTCGTTGCCTTTTTTCTTGTCAAGTAGTCCAGAACTTGCGGTTTTCACTTGATATTTTTGCATACTAGGAGGATTCAAATAAATCCCCACACAGCCTAGATTTTGATGCTTCACTTACCTCATAGTTAACTTATTTTTTCATTCACTGAAACTTTTGACATTTTGATAATGGTTAATTGCCCTTTTCTCGTATAGTGATAACTTCAGTGAAGATTTTGCTGAGTGGTCCATAATTTTTTAATTTTCTTTGACTATAGTAGGAATGAATCTATTTGGTTCTTTTCAATCTGATAATTTTTGAAAATGAAAGATGAAGATTATCATCTGAATGAAACCCCCCGAATGGAGTTGTGTGGCATACAGGGTATCCAAAAGTTAACGTACTAAACTTTGAGGGTTGATTTTTCGGCTCAAAATACGACTTTTTTTTCTATACACATTTGCCGGAAAACGTTTCATAAGTGAGCTTTGCGCTTCCAAAGTTGCCATTTTTTTCCCTTTCAAATTGATGTATCTCCTCGTTATTTAGTCGTAAGTAGGTGAAACCTTGTGCAGGGAGGTATATTTTAGGGCACTGTTCATTTGTTGTGTTTCCGTGGATGTGCGTCTTCTGAAAATGACGTTACCAGCGTTCCCGAATTTTGAGGTGGCGATAGCTGTTTTGATAAATGAAATTTGAAAAAACCGATTATGGAACGTGAAAGAGCGCGAAAAGTCAAGGCGACATAGTATTGGTTATTTTTGCAGAAACCCGTCTTTTTGACTCAACAGAGCTTTAAAAAAAATTCCAGATTTTCGAAGCTCCTTGCTAGGTAGGCAATTTTTACTGCAAGGACGTGCGAAAAATTGTCTACGGAGGAAGGAGCAAAGAAGAGCCGTCGCGACAGCTTCGAGATCTTCGAAGCCCCTTGCACTGAAGGCAATTTGTTTTACAGTCCCTGCACTGAAAATTGCCTACCCAGCAAGGAGCTTCGGAAATGTGGAATTTTTTCAAAAATCTGTTGCGTCGAAAATACGTATTTGTGGAAAATTTTGTGCAGCACTATGTGGCCTTGATTTTTCTCGCTCTTTCACCCACCGTAATCTGTTTTTCCAAATATCATCCACCAAAAAAGTTATCGCAATTTAAAAATTTGGGAATGCTCGTAATGTCATTTTCCGAAGACGAAAACACAAAACATGAACAGTACGCCAAAAAAATACCCCCTAACACCTACTACTTACGACTAAATAACGAGGAGATACATCAATTTGAAAGGGAAAAAAATGGCAACTTTGGAAGCGCAAAGCTCACTTATGAAACGTTTTCAAAGATAGCCATATTTTGAGCCGAAAAGCCGATTCTGAAAGTTAAGTACATTAACTTACGGATACCCTGTAGATTTCAAGACATCGTTCTTACTGGATGTAATGCATGTTGTATTTCTCAGAACCGTTAGGTCAATGGCATACATTTGTATTTTTGCGCATCAACCTGAAACGTTTCCATTTTGTTTATTTAAACTCACCATTTTGAAATTTCATTTAAAATATGGTACTTTCACTAAATAATGTCAAAGTTAAAAAAGTTTTATTTTTCTCACTGATGAGTTCACTGATAGGTGATTAAAATGTACCCAGACTGTTCTTAATGGAGCTCCTGCATGATGCACTGATTGATGCTCCCTGCACTGATTTCTATGTAAGATTTTGCGAGAAATACGATGGTACCTCTCGTTTTCTCTGAAATCAGCTCCGTAGCTCAAAAAAACTGTCTAAGTTCAGGCCATTATGAAGGGGATATACCACGTTACTTTTAGAGTCCACCTCTATACCAAGACAAACTCTCTGTGCAGAGATAGGGAGCAAATACATAAGCAGGGTTGCCGTGTTTTTAGTTTTGGAGTTTCCAAATCAAGTGGCAACCTTGTTAATGTATTTGCTCCCTATCATTGCACAGACAGTTTGTCTTGATATTGGTGGACTCTCAGCGTAGCTTGGGATATCTCCTCCATTATGGCCTCAACTTTGAGAGCTTTTTTGAGCTTTGGAGTTAATTTCAGAGAAAACCAGTGGCACCATCGTGTTTCTTGCAAAATTTTACTTAAACTTTGTACACCAGTGTAATGGCCAAAAGCCCCTCAAGACCTAAAGCCACCATTGTGATTAGAGCTCTCAAGGTTATGCCCCCATCCCCCCTATTTGGGGATTCTTGGAGGCGCATTCACTAAAACACTGAAACAGATGTCAAATTATTTTTCACAATCTTTAATAGGAGCCTAATATTTCAAATTAGAGGCGACTTGATCAAGTCCTCCATTTGTGAGACTGTTAAGATTTAAGTTTAAAATCATCTCTCAAGACTACCTTTTTTTCTGAAAAAGCAGGGAACATTTTCATTCACTAGGATGCTGAAACGGATGTCAAATTGTTTTGCAGAAGCTTTCATCAAAGCTTAAATATTTCAAACCAGAGGCGACTTGATCAAGCCCTCCACTTGTGAGATTGTTTAGATTTAAGTTTAGAATTAATCTTTCAAGACTACCTCTTTCCTGAAATACCCGCTAGAATTTAAAACCATTTATATATTTATCGTTGAATGTTAACACAATTTTCATATTTAATAAAACATTTTCTACTTTACTAATGAAGTTGTTTGCTTAATCATTCTTGTAGTATCTTGGAGCGCTGTATTTTGTTAGGTTGCTTGTAGACAGCTGCCAATGAGCTAATCCTTTTAACAATGTCTACTTGTCCAGATTTCAAGTTCTGATTCCTAGCTTTCAATTTGAATCAGGATTTACATTTGTCCATCTCCTGGCCTTGAGGTAGTGATACTGTTGCCAATGTTGTAACTTAAGAAACTACATTGCTGTAAACTTCAACTACGTATCTGCATTTTTACAAAATTTTTTGTCTGATATACCTAATTGTAATTTCTGTAAATGCTGAAGCATTTGAATTCAGGTCATTTCTGAATTGATTAATTGTTGAATTTCTTGATTATGTAGTACCGGAAATCCGTATTAATTGAATTGCATAAGTGTTTACAGGTGAAGAAACTGGGAGCCTTCATGGCACGTTGTGGCAATATTTCTCTAATGAAAACATTCTTGCTGATCACTTTCTTGGGCAACATTCGCTGTAACCGGGTCATAATAAGGAACAATACTGAAAACCCTACTGGGGAGGTCAGAACTGTAAGCTCGACTATCAGTTACGTCCTCGATCTGTCCATTGATGTTACATCGATCTGCAATCATGTTCGTATGTGTCCATCTAGTAATGTGAATGTAACGTTGCGAATAGGAAAGGTTGTAGTAGGCAAGGTTACTGCAATGTTACCAGGAAAGTGCGAGGCAACGTTTCCGCAGAAGTCTAGTATTTCCGCCGAGACTTTGCCATAACGGAGCCGGAAGGCAGCCGATTTCTTACCGTAACGTTTCCGGCCGGCAAGCACCCATTTTGGAAATGGTTGCTCAGTCACATCGCCGTAACGCTGCGGCAGCGTTTCCGCAGAAGGGCTGTGAAATTAGTGAATTCTTGCACAAAGGTTACGGAAACGATATGCCGGTCACGTTGCCGTAACCATCTTTCGGAAACTGATCAGAAATATTTCAGTGGAAATGTAATATTATGCGGAAACGTTTCCGTACCCGAGCCGAAAGGTAGCCGATTTCTTGCCGTAACGTTTCTGGCCGTCGAGTATCCAGGCTTGCCGGAAATGGTTGCCTAATGACATCTCCACAACGTTACGGAAGCGTTTCCTCAGGAGAGTTATAAAATTAGCGATACTCACGGAGAGGTTACGCTGGCCACGTTGCCATAACCTTCTTTCGGAAACTGATAGGTAACATTCCCGTGGAAATGGATTATTACGTCGGAACCTTTCCGTAACCAATCCGTAAGGTAACCGATTTCTTGCCATAACGTTCTCATAACCTTTTTGCGCGTCGAGTATCCAGGCTTGCCGGAAAGGTTACCGCGGTATCGTTTCCGTCAACGTTGTATCATTACGGCGACAACGTTTCCGCAACGTTTTAGTAAGGTTCCTTTTCTATCTGGGTTAGGAGTTGTCACGTGATCTCTTCATTTAGTGACGTATTACTGTACTTTTCTGTGATTGGTTCCATGTTCAATCTCAAGTCAAAAGCACCTGATAAAGGAATGAACCCTACCAACTTGATCAAAAAGTATAATATTGACTTTCGGGACGGATGGATAACATTACATTTTGGAATTCAGGGATCAAAAAGTATAATATTGACTTTCGGGACGGATAAAAATAAAAGGAATAGACTTCCAATTTTCAAGGGTAGTCGTTTGTTCATCTTTTGAGACCTTTGTTCATCGTTGACGATGAGCGGAGCCCAAGATCAGTTAGGTTTGAAAGACTAACTTCCGTATCAAAGCGCTCCACATTAATGATTTCTATGAGAAAGCGTGTGGTGTGCTTTCAGATCTTCATGAAAATCGAAGAAATTCAACATCAGGCCTGACGTGCACGGTGCACCTAAATTGTGTTCGTTGTGAGGATTGTAACTAGGTGCAGAACAAACGCTTGGCGCACCATAGGCGAAGAACAACACGAACAAGTTCCAAATAAATAAATAAAAGAAAATCGGAGACGGAGAATATCTCGGGAGGTGAGAGGGGAAGGGCTCATTTCCCTTAATAGATACGCCCGGGGCTGTAAATTTCATTTAAAACTTATCGCGATGCTATCAGATCGGCCGAGAAAATGATGAATAAGTTATGATGCCTTGGTTTTTTC